CTCAGGCCCTCCGGGGGTGCCCCCCACACTCCACTCACCCTACTTCCGTGGGCTTCACAGATCCATTTCTGAGCCCGTGGCTGGGCAGGGAGGTGGCGGAGGTAAGACCACCTAGGCAGGCAGGGGGTGAACCCTGAGCCCTGCCCCATCCCTGGGGGACCACCCTGGCACTAACTGTTCCCCCACCCCCGGTGAGTTGGGGGACCACCCCTGCCCCATTTTCCAGCTCCCTGTTCCTGCGGCCCCACACTGGGTGCGTGGGGCAAAACCCTAGATGGCAAGACGCAGAGACCCCAGAATCCCACTTGGCTGAAGCTGGAGTTGCTTCTACCCCCAGCCCCTGCTTTCCTTGGCCTGAGCTGGTGGCAGCGTCGCAAGCCCGTTTGGACCCCGAGGGCCACGGTCTCCAGGGCTGCCTGTGCGTCCAGCTGGCCGCCTGCTCCAGGCCAGCTGTGGGGGGCCAAGGCAGGGGCTGGAAGACCCTCCAGTAACCCCAACTGTGTGAAAGGGCCTGGGAGGCCAGGACCCCTCACCATCCACCCCCAGGAGACCCACAAGGCTCCCCTCCAGCTCTGGGCCAGCTGTTGGTCATCTGGAAAACAGGGAAAATGAGCCCTATGGCCAAGGTGTTCAGGGATAAGAAGAAAGGAACCAACTGGGGTGTGTGCATATGTGTGTACATGTATGTGTATGTACATGTGTGTATGTGACATCTACTTGTGTACGAGTGCACATGCATGTTTATGTATGTATGTAATATATATGTGGGTACCAGTGTGTGTGTGTGTGTATGTGTATGTATACATATACGTGTATGCAGGTATATGTGCACACACATATGCATGTTGTGTGTGGACATGCACATACATATGCATACACATATGCACACGCACACACATGTGTGAGCATATGTGTATGTGTGTATAGGTGTGGATGTATCCTTGCATATATGTGCATGCACATGCATATCTGTGTGTGTGTAAGCATGTATGTGTGTGCACACTAGCAGGGGAAGTCCTGGGAGTCGAGTCTTTTCTTTTTCTGAATAATTCAGTTCAATGAGCAAGGCTGGGAACTCCCTGGGAGGAGGGGAGACTGAGTTTCTCTCCGTGCCCTGGAGACTGGAAGAGAGAGGTGGTTTTTAAGGATTTTTTCAAACTCTCCCAAGAAGTGTCCTGGTTTTTCCAGGCAGGTGCCCCTCACCAGATGACAGACTGGGAGCAGGGGAGGACCCAGGCTGTTCTGTGCAAGAGGCCTGGCCTAGGCGAGCACTGCGACCCTGGCCAGGGCCCAGGAGAGCACAAGGCTCCAGGCCTTCTGCCTCTGGAGCACCCTCCCTTCTCTTCACCTCCTCCTTCAGCTGGCTGTCACCCCAAGAGGCCCTCCCTGACTACCCTTTCAGATCTCCTTAAGGAAACCTGTGCTTACCCTCAGAGAGACATTAAACTTGTTTTTCTTGGCTCTCTGGTGTCTCAAGGACTGTGCTTACAATTTTTGCTTAAAACAGTGCCTGGTGAATTCTGGAAGTCCATCTGGCTGATCAGTGTGTGGGCAGCAGGAACAGCATGATCCAGGAGCTTTCGGATTCTGTTCCTGGTTGTGCCCTTGCAGTGTGATCTTGGCTGGGCTTCTTCACCTCTCTGAGCAAGAAAGCTACTGCTGTTCTGGCAGAGGAGGGAGGAAGTCATGACAGGCTTTCTGGAGGAGACAGCCCAAGAGTAGGCCCTGAAGGCAGAGGAGAATTTGGGTAGGAGGAGGGACTCCAAGCACAGGCCCTCTAGGACCTGAGGAATCCAATCCAGTTGCTCAAAGGGGCCCAGGTTGCCTCTTGAGAACATTCCAGAAGCTGGGCAGGAGGGGACTAAGAGGCAGCAGGAGAAAGCAGGCATTGAATCTCAGGACTGATTGCTGTGTGACTAATAGCTGGTGGCTGTCCTCTCTGGTCCTCAGGAGATAAGTGCTGAGGAGGAGCTGGATTCCAAGAACCCAGCTTTTGGACCAGGTCCCTGGTGACAGTCCAGGGGACACTTTACTGGGGGGGGGGCACAGTGTGAGGTGCAAGGTAAGGCTGTCACCTACAGGGCCCCCGAACTGGCCAAGCGTCCCAGCCTAGGCACTTTACTAGTCTTGCCTTGGTCTCCTCATCTATGAAAAAGGCGAGCTGTCTGCTGGAACATTCAGCTCCTCCTTCATTCGGTTTCCCCTCACTGAGCACCTACTGTGTGTGGGTAGCACCTACTGTGTGTGGGTCCTTGTCCTCCTGAAGCCAGTGGTCTCAAAGGGGACTTCTCTGGTTAAGAGCAACCTCTGAAAAACAGAGTTGTTTGAGAATGCCCCCTGGCAGTGGGGCTCAAGGGAGTGGTCCCTCCATATGTACTATAAATGCTACAGGACACTAGTCATGATTGTCCCCTTGCCTGGGGGCCTTGCACGGTGGGGGCATGGCAAGAAGGTGAGGCCAGGGAGGGGGACAAAAGAAAAAGTGCCAGGAGTTCAGGTGGAGTCCACAGCAGCTGGACCTGGGGAAGGGCCCCAAGTCCCAGTCGTGAAAGCCCTGACAAGACCAAAATTCCCAAGCGAGGGACCTGTTCACTTCCTCTCTCCCGTCCTGTCCTCCCCCGCCCTGCAGCCCTCCACTTCCTCTTTTCCTCTTCCTGGGTTTGCTTTCTCTCTGACCTGTTTACTGGCCCGCCAGCTGAGCACCTCCCCCACCCAGCCTGGCTGCCTCGGGCTTCCTCCTGCCCCCAGCCCCCAGCCCCCAGCCCCCAGGGTCCTCTCTGAAGGCCCGGGACCCTTGGCACATAACCAGCTAGTTGCTGGGGAGAGGACTCTGAGTCACAGGGACCTCCTGTGTGGCAGAGTACAACTGTCCTACATGGGGTTCTCAATGGCTGGTTTTTCAGAAGTAGATTGAGAGACCTTTCCTCCCAGGTGTCCCTGGGTAGACTAGAGCCCGCAACTTTTCAGTTAATACTCAAGGACATTAACCCTTTGCACAACCCAGGGATAAAAGACACCCAGGCTGTTACTTTTTCATTTAACAGAGGTTCGGGGTGTGGGTGGTGGGAAGAAGTGGGGAAGCTGAGACCTTTCACAGTCTCACAGTTACAAACGTGGGCCCAGCACAGTGATCTTGTGTGGGAGCAGGGCGTACACTGACAATGCTGAAGGATGGCCCAAGGAGGGGTTTTCTGCGATGGGCACCGCAGGATCCATAGGAGAGCCCAAGGAAGTGGTGACTGCAGGCAGAGGGAACCAGAAGGCCAAGAGCGTTACACCCAGAGGTGAGGTGGGTTGGCACGCCTGCCACTTAGCAGGGCCCTGGCTGGGTGCCTGGGCACAGGCATCTGAGAAGAGGCCAGGTGGAACTCAGATCGCTTGCCCTGTAGCCCAGACTCCACTGCTCATCACCCACCAGGCTCTGGGCTCACAAAGGGAGGAGCAGCCTCCTTCCTCCCTTCTCAGGAGGTGGCAGAAAGGGTTGCCCCTTGGCCTGGCAAATCACAGGGTTGGCAGAGCCTGCGGCGGCTGGCAAAACGCCTGCCACTGAGAGACACAAGGCCAGGGACAGGGCAGCCCAGGCCCCAGGGAAAGGAGGCAGGGACAGCCTGGGAAAGTGCTCCCAGGCTCAGGGAACAAGTCACCCCACAGCCCTCTGGGGAAACATGCATGGGGCTTGGCACCTGTGGCCTCCTGTGAAGCCAGATGGAGGTCACTCTGTCCTGCCACCTCCTTTCTGTCACAGTTTCCGTCCCGGGGCTAATGGACCCCTCATATTGAAACACTTTCCCTGAGCACCCACAACGCCCTGGGTGACAGACGGGGTGTGAGGCAGGCCAATGATGGCAGCCAGCGTCTGCGTCCACCTGGACCGCTGTCCCTGTCTGGTTCTCTTCTTGTACAAACCCAGCTTCTTGTCACCGCCCCTAGAAGCTCTGCATGCTTCCCTAGGTGGAGCTATGTGCCACTCAGGGACCCTGCAACCCTGGGCTTCTGTCCAGGCACACGGAGCACAGGTGTGGTCACTCAAATCAGACCAGCCGATTCCCAAACGGGGAACTAGGCTGGTCACTGCTGACCACCCGCCACACACTTGAGCACACATGTCCTGCCCACTGTTTGCTGGACAGACCCAGGACAAGAAAGGGTGACCAGAGGGCCCCCCCATTTCTCTGGCATATGCAGTGTCCCTTCCCAGAGTTCTTTGCTGCCTCCAGATGGCCCAGGTGGGCAGCTAAGCTGTGGCCCCACATGACAGAGGATGGATGGTGACCCTGGCGGCAGGACTGCGCTGAGCCCAGCAGGGCCTGGTCACCGACTAGCAGCCCTCAGAGGCACAGTTTCCCTGGGTCTGGGGTGGCTGGGAGCCTTTTGAATAGGGAAATCCCCGGCTCTGTTTCTGGGGACTGAGACTCTGAACCTCCTAAGTGACTCAGGGGCCCTAACTCCCCTCACCAGCTACCTTCAGCCCCAGACCTCTGAGCAGGCCTCCCTGCTCCTCACCAAACTGAGTACCCCAGCCAGAGACCCTCCCAGCCCCTCTGGTCAGTTAAGGCAATGCTGGCAAGAGGAGGGGCCCCCTAACGACCCCCATCCTGCACCCCTCCCCCCACTGCTCCTCAAGCAGGTGTCCGCAGCAACCGGGTCCCTCGCTGCACCGGAGCTGACCCGTGCCCACCGGGCACACACTGCTCATATGCCATCCACACCCCGAGGGTCCCGGAGAGCCAGGCCCACGGGTCCGGCACCCAAGGCCGGCCAACGCCAAAAGTCTCCCTCCTCCCACTCCTCTCCCTTCCTCAATCTCGCTCTCTCCTTTTTTTTTTTTTTGCAAAAGGAGGGGAGAGGGGGAAAAAAATGCTGCACTGCGCGGCGAGGCCGGTGAGTGAGCGGCGCGCGGCCAATCAGCGGCCGCCGTTCCGAAAGTTGCCTTTTATGGCTCGAGCGGCCATCGTAGCGCACTATATAACCCGGCGGCGCGGTGCACAGCCACAGCCGAGACCGCGTCCGCCCCGCGAGCACAGGCCTCTCGCCATCGCCCAGCCACCGCCGCCGGTTCACACTCGCCACCCCCAAGGTAAGCGCCCGGCCGGGCTCCGTGTGCTAGTGCTGGGCGCCGTGGCGCGGTCACCGCGCTGGTGGCGGGCCCCGCAGCCCTGTCTCCGTGCACTGATGGCGTCCCCGAAGCTCAGTCACCGCGCTGATGGCAGGCTCCCTGGCACTGCCTCTCTGAGCGCTGATGGCGGGCCCGGCGGTGCCGTCCCCGCGCCCTGTTTACGGACAGGCAGCGCCCCTTGCCCGGGCCGCCTTGGACTCTGCCTGCGGCCCACGTCAACCGTGGAAAGCTGCCCCGGCCGCTCGACCAGGGGGCCTGGGAACAGGGATCGGGGAACCCTGCCCAGAAGGGTCCAGCGGTGAGGGTCTGGGAGGCTAAACCTTTGTCAGCAGAGCGGTCAGGGTGGTGCCGCCGGCCGGCTGGCTGGGTGGGTGGGAGTGCGCGGAGGGCCAGGGCTGGTGCCTAGTGGGGGCTGGGGCGCTACTGCGCGTGCGTCCGGCCGGCCGCTGGCGCGGCCAGCGCGGGCCAGACCGGCTGGGTGAGGGCGGGGCAGTCGTCCCGGAAGGGGTGGGGTCGCTGCAGCCGCGAGGACGGCTGCGCACACTTACTCCCCCCACCCGCCGAGGGTGTGGCCGCGCGCCCAGCCGGGTTTGAACGCTGCTTGGGCGGGGCCGGTTCTTGCGGGGCGGGGCCTGGCCTGCAGCCTCCGCCAAACAGCCTTTGCCTTTTATGGTAATAACGTGGTCGGCCCGGGGCTTCCTTTGTCCCGAGGCCGCGCGCCGGCGCCCCCTGGCGGCCTTAGGGCGCGGCGCCGCCGGAAGCGGGGCGGGGCGGCGGCAGCGGCAGCGGCAGCGGCAGCGGGGGCGTCCTGTTCACGGCCCGCTTCCCGCAGCTCACCATGGATGATGACATCGCTGCGCTCGTGGTCGACAACGGCTCCGGTATGTGCAAGGCCGGCTTCGCGGGCGACGACGCCCCCCGGGCCGTCTTCCCTTCCATCGTGGGGCGCCCCCGGCATCAGGTAGGTGGCAGTGTCCATTCCAAGTGGGTAGAAGGGGCTCGGACCTCGTGTGCTCCGGGGGCCGGTGGAAGCCTGGCTGGAAATGCTCACCGCCTCCTGCCTTTGCTCCGCAGGGTGTGATGGTGGGCATGGGCCAAAAGGACTCCTATGTGGGCGACGAGGCCCAAAGCAAGAGAGGGATCCTGACCCTTAAGTATCCCATTGAGCACGGAATTGTCACCAACTGGGACGACATGGAGAAGATATGGCACCACACCTTCTACAACGAGCTGCGTGTGGCCCCCGAGGAGCACCCCGTGCTGCTGACCGAGGCCCCCCTGAACCCTAAGGCCAACCGTGAGAAGATGACCCAGGTCAGTGGCCAGAGGGGGTTCCCCTTAGTTGGCTCCGCCCTCCCTTCTGGCCTCTTCTCACTGGTTCTTCTTTCTGCCGTTCTCCTAGGACTCTGTTCTCTGATCTCAGTCTCCTGTGGAAGTCTGCAGGTTCTATTTGCTTTTTTCCCAGATGCAATCTCTTTCTGGCGTTTGTCTCTCTGACTAGGCATCTAAAGCATTTAGTGTTGTGGGTGTCAATACTAACCCTGGCTCCTGGCAGAGCCGAGAGGCTGGTGTGAAGTGGCCTCGGAGTGTGTATTCAGTAGGTGCACAGTAGGTCTGAACTCCATCCCCGTCCCCACCCGTCCGCACTCTTACCTGTGTTCCTTGCACTTTCTGCATGTCCATGGTCTGAACCGGCCGCCCCTCTGTGCTGGGTGGCCAGGGCCGGCTTGCTGCACCTGACCAGCCCCATGTCTCCACAGATCATGTTCGAGACTTTCAACACCCCAGCCATGTACGTGGCCATCCAGGCTGTGCTGTCCCTGTATGCCTCTGGGCGCACCACTGGCATCGTGATGGATTCCGGCGACGGGGTCACCCACACTGTGCCCATCTACGAGGGCTACGCCCTTCCCCACGCCATCCTGCGTCTGGACCTGGCCGGCCGAGACCTGACCGACTACCTCATGAAGATCCTCACCGAGCGAGGCTACAGCTTCACCACCACGGCCGAGCGGGAAATCGTGCGTGACATCAAGGAGAAACTGTGCTACGTCGCCCTGGACTTCGAGCAGGAGATGGCCACGGCGGCCTCCAGCTCCTCCCTGGAGAAGAGCTACGAGCTGCCTGACGGGCAGGTCATCACCATCGGCAACGAGCGTTTCCGCTGCCCCGAGGCGCTCTTCCAGCCATCCTTCCTGGGTGAGTAAGCCGGGCTGCGGCCCCGCCCTAGGGCCACCCGGTGTCCTTTCAGGGAAGCTAAGCCTGCCGTGTGGTCCGTGTCTCCCCCCAGGAATGGAATCCTGCGGTATCCATGAAACTACCTTTAACTCCATCATGAAGTGTGACGTTGACATCCGCAAGGACCTCTATGCCAACACGGTGCTGTCGGGTGGCACCACCATGTACCCGGGCATCGCCGACCGAATGCAGAAGGAGATCACAGCCCTGGCACCCAGCACGATGAAGATCAAGGTGAGTGTGCCCGGCTGGTCACTGAGGGGGGAGGCCGGCCAGCCGTCTGGCTCCTGGTCGCCCAGGCAACCACCCATGCCCTTGGTCTGATGTCAAGGACCATGCAGTGGCTTTTCTCAGCCTCTGCCAGTTGGGTGGTGGTGTGACACCCAGGTCCCCACACTGACTGTCCCCTTCTCTCCCCAGATCATCGCTCCCCCTGAGCGCAAGTACTCGGTGTGGATTGGCGGGTCCATCCTGGCCTCGCTCTCCACCTTCCAGCAGATGTGGATTAGCAAGCAGGAGTATGACGAGTCCGGCCCCTCCATCGTCCACCGCAAATGCTTCTAGGCGGACTGTTTTCAGTGGCGTCACACCCTTTCTTGACAAAAACCTAACTTGCGCAGAGAGAAAAAAAGAGATGAGATTGGCATGGCTTTATTTGTTTTTTCCTTTTTTTTTTTTAATCTTTTTTTTTAAATTTTAATTTTTTTTT